TGTAGAGGATAGAAGTTTACAGCAGTTGAATTAACTCAAAACTGCGTTGATCTGTTTTCTCAAATTATATCCACATTTTCTGTGTTTAGATGCTTACAAGATGAGCACGAAGAATGTAATCTGTAATTCTTAAAGCAACTAATTATATTTCAGCCTTCTGAAATGACATTTCATACTAAGCAAACACAGCGCTAAAGCACATCAACAAATTCCCAACCAGAAACCATAAGTAAGGTATTTTGTTAATTAATTTTACTTGGATATACAGCTTGCTGCATATCATGCTCGAATACTGTTACCGCAGTAAAAATTGAACATTTTAGAAAGCAATGAATAGGAACAAAGTTCATATAGATATACTCATAAATATCACAGAACAATTTGCATTTTCGGCAAAGCTACTAAAACTATCTGCAGCTATATCTAATTTTGAAATACTGCCCAGAAAGAAGGAAGGCAGCCAGTCAGCAGCATGCTACAATATCTTCCATATTAAGGTACTGACCGTCACTCTTATACCGCACCCATGCACAGCTTTTTAGTGGTATCGCATGGATTCGAACACAGTTCGCTAACTCCAAAATCCAAGGCCTGGCATGGATAGGTGGTTAGGGCGATCGACTCGCAACCTGCGGGTCGCGGGTTCGAATCCCCGTCCCACCAAACATGCTCGCCCTTTCAGGCATGGGAGTGTTGTATTCGTTGGTAAAAGAGTAGTCCAAGAGTTGGCGGTAGGTGGTGATGACTAACCGCCTTCCACCCTAGTCTTTCACTGCTAAATTAGGGACGGCTAGCACAGATAATCCTCGTGTAGCTTTGCGCGAACTTCCAAAACAAACCAAACTCCACAGGTATTCTGAAGGGGCGACCAGCTCCCAAATATAACGGACATGGCGCAAAATAACAAAATGTACATTAAGATTAGATAAATTATAATTACCTATTAAAGTAACAAAGAAAATAATAACAAAAATACAAAGAACAATAAGTGTTGAACAGATAGGTACAGTACTAAAATCATCAAGTAATTATGTACCAAGAAATACATGTTTTAATTTCTTAACTTATGATTAGACACTTACGTTTATTGAGATACTTGCAAATTCCATAATTATAACCATCACTCACCATACTCTCTCGAACAGGCAACATATATTCGTTTTGGTGTTCTCTTTCAAAGAACATTAAACTTATTTGTAAACTTTTTGTGAAGAGTAATTTTACATTTACTGATTCCATAACTCTTTGATTAATTGGTTATATTATAAGCGTTAGAACCTATTGAAATTCGTCATTATTTGGTTCTATTGAAAACGCGATAAAACAGTACATTATAAACATTACTGTCACTCAAACAGAACGAGATGAAGTTATCTATAAGGCATGTCAGTTGTTTTCGTACATTTAGTATAGTTAAATATATTTCGTACAATTTCTGTGAGATTTTATACACAACAATACTTATACGAAGAGTTGCAGGTTCATAACTTTTAAACAACAACGTCATTGAGAAGTCGACCTTGGTGGATTCTGCTTTATTCTTGAATGTTACTTTAATTAAACGAACTATGAACGAAGCATTTTAACGTAATGATCGTTGAGATAATGCCCACCGCATTGTGCAACTCCGATGGTTTTATCGTAAGATGACTCACTAACCAGGAATTTGTTAAGGACGTCAGAAGGGAGGATTTGTTAATCTTAAAGATTTGGTAATGTCGTCAGTACTTGATAATATCGTGTATTTTGTATTGTACTGTCACGTGAGATTCACGTTTACTGACCTCTTTTGTTGATCTTATTTCGAATTCTCTTAAGGCTGAAATAAAGCCTGGTAGGCAAACTACGAGGGATCAGCTGGTCTAGCCTCTGTTGTCCCGCATAAAATTCAGCAAGTATATACAAGCTTTGCCTTCTCTTTAAACAGACACAAAGATAATTCATTCTTCCTCGAGCCCTTTGTCCTTTAAGGACTGCAGCTGGCAACTTGAGATAAGCAGGAAATGTAGTTCAAGCAACGTCTATCATACCAGCGAGAGAAGTTTCTCGAGATATTAAGCTACTTCAGCCACAAGTAATCTACTTAGAAAATCTCATCTGAACATTGCTCACTTTCAGATTAAACATACTTAAAACAATACCCAGTTTTACCCTGAAGAAGAAAGGTTTTTATCTTAAACAATACTTTTATTCATAAAATCTGTTTGAATATGTATCCCTAAAATGTTCAAGTTGCAAAACTTTAACAGTGGAGCTAAACATTTAATATTTTCGTGTCGCAAATATTTGTTCTTTGTGTAACGAAACCATTGTATCTGAAAGTATCTACCTAGAGAATTTCGAGCCAAAAAAAAAACTCAAATATTTCGACTTTTATTTAGGATAACCCAAAAAACATGCGCATAATTTCGTGTTACCGATAACCTACAGGTTAGTCTTGCTCGTCGAAGAGTAACAGGCAGGTGGAAAACCAGGCAATTCACTATATGGCTAAAACCTTCCTTCGAGAAATCGTTGACCTATAGGATTTGACTCAGATATTACAATTATATATATATATATATATGCAGTATCTTTTAGGTATGGGCAAAATACTTAGCGTTTCGAAATTAAAGATTAAGAAACTTCCCATTAATCAGGTATAATATATAAAGTTTTTAAAAATGTTCACATCCGGTCTTAAAAGATTGTAATGTTTCGACAATAACTACGTTGTTTTTAACCACTGCATAATATTTTTGAAAGTATATTAATCATGCATTAATGACTGTCATAACTAGATTATATACAATTATGGCTAGCTTAGGCTTAATTTTGGTAAACCAAATATCGTTAACTTAAATCTCTGAAGAACTTTTATACCAGTTAAACAACTTTTTTTGTCCTGAAGAGATTTTACAATGTCTGTAATCACAATACAGAGATACCACTAATATTGCTGACCTATCTAGATTTCAGGATACCCCCCCCCAGTAGCCCAGCGGTATGTCTGTGGACTTACAACGTTAGAATCCGGGTTTCGATACCCGTGGTGGGCAGAGCACAGATAGCCTTTTGTGCTTAACTACAAATAAACAAATTTCAGGATACACAGTTGTTATTGTGGTGTGAAATGCGCTGTTCAATAACACTAACTGTAGCTATGAAGTCTGCGTGGTGTTAATCAAAATACAGAGATACCACTATTATTCTCGACCTAACCAGATTTCAGGATACATACTTGTTATTGTGATGCGAAATGCAGTGTTCACTAACAAGAACTGCAACTATGAAGTACGTATTATATCGTAACTCTCCTTTTGGGTAATATACATGTATAAAACAACCAAGAGTCTGTTTTGTAGGGAAATCTAAAAAAATAGAAAACCAAATGAGTACGCATCTCGATAGCAGCATAATTTTTAATCTTATAAACAGTTTTAAAATTCGACACCTATGATCCTATTATGTAGACAAAACAGGCTTAATAACTGACACGATGACAACACTTTCATCAATATTTTTTTTTAATTCCTCTAAGCTAGATAATTCTAGTTAAAGTATTCGCGCATGCGTTCTCTTGTAAGGTAGTCTTCGTTGTTCAATTCCAATGCATTTGGGGAAGATCAGTTTTTCGAGGTTGGGTAGCACATGCAAAGGTGAGATGGGGAGGGGGGTAAGGTAGGTGAAATAGCTTCTGTTTCATAAGGCTATGCCTTGTGGGAGGTAGATTGATGTTAGTTAATAATTTTACTATACACTACATGTCAGCGTTTTACTTTGCATATTTCAGGAACTGCTCCTTTTGAAATCCACAAATTCCAAATATTCTGGGGTTCATACCCCATGATCCACATAGAATTACTTTGTTCAGATTTACATGGGCTTTAGCCCTCCCAACTATGTTTTGTTTCCTCCGCCTATGGGTATTCGTTTCCTAAATAGTAAGCATTGTTCATATCATGTCAGCCACTTGCATTTGAAAAGGCCACATCGAGCGCTTCTTTTTTTTCTGACAAACAATTTACTATTTTTGATAATAGTTTATTGATGTCTCAGCGACAACGTACAGATCTTTTTGACAGAGTTAATGACATCGATAAACTCTTACATTTTGAAACTTAAAAACTTCAACGCATTCAGCAGAAAGACAAACAACTACAGAGATGTCGAAACTTGTAAAATGTAAACAGAATACAAGGATTCAGGAAATATAGTTCAAGCAAACGGGTTATTATAACAGCACACAATCCCAAGAGGCCGTATTATGAAAATAAATTCTGGCTTCGTATTTTATACTGGAGATATATCTTCATCAGCTGAGCTAGTCTATAATCATTTATGCCGTAACAGAGAGATTACATGAATTTCAAATGGTGAAGCATATTTCTGGATAAAAAGAATTACATAAAAGAATCTAAATAACGTAAGTAATACGACATATTTATTGATAACACCTGTTTATTTATATATTAGTGCATAGCTACACAAGGGCTATCTGCGTTAGTCGTTCCTAATTTTGAACTAATAAACTATATGAAGGCAGGTAGTTTCCAGCACCAAATCATGGGCTTCTCTCATAGAACAGTGGGCCACTTGTATAAGTCGCCAACGACTCCAAAGTGTGTCCCCCTCAGTGGCCCAGCGGTAACCCTGCAGGCTTACGACACTAAAATTCGGGTTTCGATACATCTAGTGGGCAGAGCACAGATAGTCCATTATGTAGCATTCCGCTTAACAATAACTAAGCCAAAGTGTGAAGCGCGATTTTGCAACAACGGCACGCAAACCACGGACTTCTTGACACGCCACAGATTAGTATTTCATAATTCAGGTCTTAGATCAGTGAGTAGTGTGGCTAACAAATACAAAGCAGTAACGTTTAGTTAGGTACCTTCATTACAAGGCGTGTAGGAATGTACACAAATATGAGTATACCATTTATTGTAAACTGAAAACATTAACCTATTATTATACTTACTAAACACAGCATAGACTGATTTTAAAACATTTTATTGGATGTACAAAAGTAAATCCTCTGGTTTTGAGCAAAGTACGCCAAAGATCGTCAAAGTTATTGTGACACCATACAGTACTACACACACACACATATATATATATATATATACAGCAAGTCAATAAATTGTGTTGTACAAATTAAAGGCAAACAATTTAAATATGGAAAAAACTTGAATCTTTAACTGGCCAGTTATTTACCTAGAAATATCATGCATATATTATCGTATAAAATATTCCACAATTGACACTCCTATGCATGTGTTAAACATGTATCTTTCTGTCACGGCCAGAACGTGTTTGTCCACGATAATACAGACATATTTAGTCACAGTCTGTACAGTCTACCATCTAACACACGCGGTAATTAAGTTCACTTTTCTTATTTTAATCATGCAGTTTTACAGTTCAGATAGCAGATCAGTTGTATCAGTGACTAAATCACGCATTTCTACAGTTCAGACAGCAGATCAAGGGTACCAGTGGTTGAATCACGCAATTCTACAGTTCAGACAGCAAATCAGCTGTACCAGTGATTAAATCACGCAATTCTACAGTTCAGACAGCAAATCAGCTGTACCAGTGATTAAATCACGCAATTCTACAGTTCAGACAGCAGATCAAGTGTGCCAGTGGTTGAGTTGTGGGTTGAGGTAAAAAAAAAAAAACAAGCACGTGCATGTAAACAACATTCGTTTCTAATATTTACAACAACATACATTTTTTTTACTGTCCTCTGATCGTCATCTTATGCACATCATAAATGTTTTTTAAACTTTAATTGTGAACAGACGAAAAGATTTTGAGAGCATTTCAAATAACTTTTGGTTTCTAAACAGTCGGACAAAACTTTCAAAACCCTTACATATTATTTAGCTTACAAACAACTGAACAAAATTTGTAAATAATAAATCTGACAACGATAGTCTTGGTTACAAATTCCGCACTTTAAGATATCTGAGTGATTTGCTCAAGTTAGAAAAATTGGAGAGATTTGAAAACACCGGTGAACACAGCTCATCAAGTTGTAAACACTTAATTTGGACAATAAACGGGAAAGAAAAATAATCCCACCTACATACTTATGTATTTAATTATGCAAGAACTTAAAACTTTAACGATCTCTTTTACTTCAGTGGGCATTAAAAATGAACAGGAAATTCTTACTGCTCACCTTTAAAAAAAGAAATAAAGTGGCATACAATAATAAAGAGACGTAAGATTTTGGGGAACTTTTAGGTGTAACAATATACTGTATGTTAATATATAATAGGCTATAAATATTTAATTTTTGAATCTGAAGACATTTGCTTTTCATTGCTACACACATATATATATTCAATAACGTATGTGAATATGATGTTTCATAGAGTACACTTGATGTAGAAAGACTTGAAAGGAATTTGCCAACCTTTGAATACCCGAATTATCTCTCTTTTTTTCTAAATGATCTCTTATATACACACACACACCTTATAAAACATTTACAAAGAATCACACTCTTGTCCAAAAATTGCGTCGGCTTATTTCCGGGCGTTATAATCTTCATGAACCAATTCTCAGATGTTATGAAGTCCATTTGGTGTTAGAACAATAGCGTCTAGTTGTAAATAGATTTAACGAAGCTAGCATGAGCGTTTAAACAAAGACAAACGTTATCCAGATGTTGAATATTAATAAACATAAAACCATAAATATCACAACTAGATATTCGAAACACATGTTCTCAATTCTATCCGCAAACTGTACAAGGAGCTTATCAGTAGAAAAACAAACAAAAAGAAGATTTAAATCTTGAACTTTAAACTATCTTATGCACGAAAGAAGTTTTCTTGAATCTTTAAACACAACTATAAATTGTTATTAGAAAAACATACACACAGAACAACACCTTACAATTTGATGCAAAGTAATTTTATTTCATTAATAATATTTCATATTTTAAATTATATTGCGTTTTTCGTATCCCCACGCTTTAGATGAAGTTTCTAACTACAATAATATACTTTTATAAATAAACAACTCTCAAAAACAGTATTTTAGTATTTGTGTCGTTCTCCTAGTATTTACGTGCTTAATTAATTTCGTAATTTAGTGGAAGTTTATAGTGAGACGTCATCTGCAGCTGCTCAAGAACACGGAGATCACCTTACACCAAAACGAACAACAGCTGTCATGAGTGTAAAAAAAAGTTTGGAATATTCAATGAAAACTGGCTTTAATTCTGTAATATAAAGAAACAATGTAAAAATAGATCATTTAATACATACTAAAAATATTTGGTGAGAAAATTATAATTGTGTGTGTGTGTTAAATATTTAGGAAGGTCAAATAATTCAACATGAGGTCTTACAGACCCCACCCTTGTACTTATAGTTTAAAGAAGAAAAAACAACAACACTGCCTATGTAGTTAAGGGTTAACAGGTCTCACATGTCAGACTTGTAAATAAATCAAGCTATCATCAAAGTTCGGTAAATGATATGTAATCTCTGATCAAGTGCAAGAATTGATAAATCAAGCAGACGAAATATAAACAGCAAGCACGTTGTCCTAGCAACATTATAAGACATTATTTCGTATAGTTTCTATGAACCCCGCCGTCTTTATTACTCATATACCACTTTGCTTTATAAGAACATCTTTATGTACAACAACCGAATAGTAAACGCCGAAAATGTTGAAGAAACAATATACACAAATTGATATGTAAGAATAATTCTTGGCTGGTCTTGCACAAAAGTATAAATGATTTGATAACGGCGAAAATCAAGAGAGAGAGAAATTAACAAACATACAAAGGAATCGGCTGTAAGCATTGTGAGAGGATATTTTAGGTAACGAATACAAAGTCATGCAACTGTTTACAAAAACAATGCACGTATATCAGCCCGTATCATGAAACTCCTATTAAAAGTTACCACATGGTGGTCTAATCACTTCAAAATTATCATTCATTTCTGAAAAAAAGTAATTTTTTGTGTGTTTAGCAACTTCCAGTATAAAAATAGTTTTATACAAATATTTTTCCAAGTTTTAATGGCAGATTGCCAAGATTAACCGTCACATTATGCAATCTCCAGATTCCGAAAAGTCCAAAGGTTAAATTCATTCAGCTTCACATAGAATTCGAGTAACCGTAATAAATTTTACCTGTCAAAACATGTACTGAGAAATGTTTTAAAGAGGGGATAATACAGTTTTTAAGCATAATATTATGGATGAATACCAATTTAATACAGTTCGAATGTTAAACCAACGTTATAACAATTTATTATTAGTATATATCAATATTATTGTCATATACTACAATAAA